CCTCCGTGCACAACAGATGGAGCACATCTGGGAGAGTCCTTACCTGGGCATTCAATTGGATGAGAGCACGGACCGTCGGTGCAGAAAGCACCTTATCGTCTACCTGTCATTCCTCCGCAACAACACGCCCGTCACTGATTTTTTTGCGCACCTAACAGTTGAGCAGTGCGATGCTGGTTCCCTGCAGGCAGTCCTTCTAACCCACCTAGAGTCTACCGGGCTCGACCTTGAGCGCATTAGTGGCATCAGCACCGACGGTGCAAGCGTCATGGTCGGTTCTCAGACGGGCCTGGTGGCACGCCTTCGAGTACGGATTCCACACCTCGCCGGGTTCCACTACATCGCGCACAGGTTTGTAACCCTATGATGTTATGGTTACCATTTATGCGTTGCATATTTATCTAACTTGTTGCCTTTTCCGTGTTGTGTAAGGGGAGCTTTGGCGGGAAAGGATACAGCTGAGGCCTACCTCGACCTTGACATCGTCGACCATGTCGTCCGTTCCTTAGCGGAGCTCCTTGGACGGTCGGGCAACTTCCACCTACGCTTCAAAGAGCTGAAGGAGGTGCTCTGTGAAACGAACCTGGAGTTGCAGGGCATCCACAGCGTCAGGTGGCTTTCACGTGGACTGACGATTCAGCGTCTGGCTGACAACCTTCCAGCTGCTGTCATTCTATTGTACGAGAACGACCCGAAGGCGTAACTCCTTATAACCAGTTTCAAATTCCATTTCCTGCTGTTTTTCTTGGCTGATGTGTTGAAACGCACTCAACCTCAAGTTCCAGCGACGGCAGGTACGTTGTTACGCCTCTTGTTGTTAAGGGTTTTTTTGTGTATTATTGTGTTATTGTGATATTGACCCGTGCATGCCTTTCCACTGTCTCTCATGTGTGTGTGGCAAGTCGACGTGGCACACGTGCTGCAGATGGTGGACAACACTAGGCTCGCCCTCCGCAATCGTTACCTAAGTGACGCGGACGACTTCGGAGATGGGAGCAACGAGCTGAGAGCCTTCTTGGCGAAGCATGCCTCGTCGGAAAAGAGGGAAGTGAAGGTGACGGGCACCGACTCGACTGGGACGCCGACCACTCATGAGTACACCCTCCATGAACAGAAGATTAAGGGTCAGAAATCTGGCCCGGGCCTGGACGACTGCATCACACTGGCGAAGGGGTACGTGAAGGAGCTGCTGAAGCGTCTGGAGAGCCGGATGAAGGATTTGGGCTCTCTCGACGGCGCCAAGCTGTTCACGCAGGGGGCTCACCCGAAATCTCACTCGAAGCGGCAGCGTCGGTTTTTGCAGTGGATGGAGGCTCTCCGCAATCTGTTTAAGCGGAAACCGTCCGACCCTGACACTCTGCCTGGTACGTCTTCGATTTCGGTTGTGCTTGATTGAGTTGTCTATGTTGTTTGTGTCAACAAATGCTTCGTTGGTTGCATTAGTTTGTTTACTTTAGAACAGCTCGAATTCTCATTATAATTGATTCTATTTCACACCCCGCTACCAGGAATCAACTAGATGAGAGCACAGAAGGAGATCAGTAGTTTCACCACGATCATGTCGACCCATCAGGGGGAGCTGAGCTTCCAGGACGGCCTGAAGCAGATGCTCAGCTCGCCCGACTGGTGCACGGCCTACCCCAACCTGGACCGCCTTTGGATGGCGGTCGCAGTGCTGCCCCTGAGCACCGTGGAGTGCGAACGGGGCTTCTCTCGCCAGAACGTCATTAAGAGCTGGCTACGCGGCAATCTCAACGACGCAAAGCTTGGCGACCTAATGACCATCTCCATGCTGAAGTACGAACCTGACTGGCCCGCCCTTGTAGAGCTGTGGAGAGGTGCGAAGAAGAGTCGTCTAGCCAAGGATGTGGTGATGGTGCATGCGCAAAGGCCTGTGAAGCGCATGAAGAAGACCCTTGCGATGCTGGCCACGAAGCAGGCGGCAGCAACAGCAGCAGCAGCAGCAGCAGCAGAGGCTGCTGCTCGTGAAGCAGCAGCTGCAGAAGAAGCAGCCAGGCTAGAGGAGGAGTTGGGCCCCTGGCAGAGACGAGCAGACCACGGCAAAGAGCACATGGCTTCGGATTCAGAGCTAGACGGGGACGACGAGGAAGATTACTCTCATGGTATCGATAGTGAATCCTAGTTCAATATGAATGTATGGTTATATGTAGTAGTAGACTGTAGTCAGTGTGTAGACTTCTAATTTCTAGAAAATTAGTCTGAGCCGTCATACTAACTTATAAAATCCGTCTGAGGCTAAGACCACTAGGAATCCTCCATATGAGGGCCAGACGATTTTTTATTTCCGGGCAAAACGTCAGACAGGCCTGAAAGTTAGCAAGAGCCCTGGCGCGTTACCCTCAGGGCTGATTTTATCAGGGTAATTACCCTGATTTCAGGGTGATTACAGGCTTCTCACCTGGTGGTCCCTGCAATTTCAGAATTTCTGACTTGTGAACACTGATCCATTCAGAATAGTGCTTTAGCGAACCCTGAAATATTGTATCTAGGCTCAGAGTAGTGTTCTTACTGACTCTGTCAATGTAGAGTACGCGTTCTGTGGACCCTGAATGCGAGGGTATCGGGACGAAGGTTCTCGGAAATTTCCTCCCGATAACCCCCTATGTGCGTAATCATGATTTCGCTTGTACCCATGTGAGGGAGCCCTTTCTGTACAGTAATAACGACAAGTACAGTAACACCCACATGGGAAGGTGGGGTGGGGTGAATGTTTGTTGTGTCGTGCAAGGCGCAGCGTGCTGCGGGGATTTTCGGCAGGACCTTTGACACAACAGATCTGCTGTGTCAGAGCGAATCTCTTGTCCTTGACAAGGCAAGTTTCTTGTGCGAATTTGCTCTGACAGGGCGAATCTGATGTGCCTTCAGATTCACCCACGCGATAGCAATCAGACATTCATGGCGGTGGCTGGAGTTGAGAAGTTGAGAGGAACGGCGTGAGTGCTTGCAATGTGTGCGGAATTCTCCGAAGCACAGGCCCATTTATCGAGGAAGGGGGTTACACCATCGCCAGTTCGTGCGATGTGCTGTTTTGTCGCCTTTCTTGGCGCCAATGTTTTTGGGGGTTGTTTCGAGGTGTTTGGCTCACCGTCTGCAAATGTACACTGTGGTTAACAGCGAACGTGCACTGTACTTTCGCGTGTGCTGAGGGAAGCAGACACCACGCGATATCGTGCAGTCAGTTCGCATGGGTGGCACATTGTGGCCCATATTCGTGGCTGTGTGGTGCCAAGTCACACTGACGTGTACTTTCGGGTCACTTGTCCAAATCTTTATGGCGGGCGAACTTCAGAACCGTGATCTGACCCAACGCTTTGTGTGCGTAGTACAACACAATCACGACTGCCAACTTGGTTGTGTTTTCTGTTGACTTTGACTGGCCAGGAAGTGAGGCGTGGGAAATGTATAATCCGCGTGGGAGAAATTAGTGTGATTGACTGCAACACTGATTTCTTGCTCTGAACCCTGACGAATCAGAGTGAGACGTTGTTGGACACTGACCAATCAGAGTAGCAAACCTCTGAAAAATGTGCCCTCATAATACAGGGGGGGGAATATTTTCCCGAAATCAGGGAGGCCCGAAATGAAACGTCAGCCCTGGTTACCCAGCTCGTAGCGCCCTACCCTGCCCGTCGCGCTGCCCCACCAGTCGCGCTGCCCTCCCCGCGTGCCGCCCTGCTGGCTGCCGCGCTGCCTTGCCCTGCCCTGCGTTGCGCTGCCTGGCGCACGCCCTGCCCTGCCCTGCGTTGCGCCGCCCCGCGCACGCCCTGCCCCGCGTCGCGCTGCCCACGCACGCCCTGCCCCACGTCGCGCTGCCCGCGAACGCCCTGCCCTGCGTCGCGTCGCCCGTGCGCCCCTGCTGCCCGTCGTGTCGTCCGTGCGGGCTGCCCCAGCCCGTCGCGTTGCCCGTCCGCCCTGCCCTGCCCGTCGCGTCGCCCGTGCGGGCTGCCCTAGCCCGCCGCGTCGCCCGTACGCCCTGCCCCTGCCCGTCGCGTCGCCCGTGCGGGCTGCCCCAGCCCGCCGCGTCGCCCGTACGCCCTGCCCTGCCCGTCGCGTCGCCCGTGCGGGCTGCCCCAGCTCGCCGCGTCGCCCGTACTCCCTGCCCAGCCCGTCGCGTCGCCCGTACGGGCTACCCCAGCCAGCCGCATCGCCCATACGCCCTGCCCCTGCCCGTCGCGTCGCCCGTGCGGGCTGCCCCAGCCCGACACGTCGCCCGTACGCTCTGCCCCTACCCGTCGCGTCGCCCTGCTGGCCGCGCGCCGCCCTGTGCAGCCCGCCCGCTGCCCTATTCTGCCCGCGCGCCGCCCTGGCAGCCTGCGCGCCGCCCTTGCAGCCCGTGCGTCGCCCTTTACAGCCCGCGCACTGCTTCTTGCCTGCTCGCGCGCCCTCCCCAGCCCGAGCGCCGCCCTACTTGCAGCGCGCCGCCCTGCTCTGGCCGCGCGCCGCCCTTCCCTGACCGTGCGCCGCCCCGCCTTACCCTACGCACTACCCTAGTGCCTGCTAGTCGCTCTGCCTTCCCTGCGTGCTGCCCTGCTGGTCGCACGCCTCCTTGCTTTGCCCGCTATGACTTCTCTTCGTGGTAGCGGTGGGAGTGGTGGCGACGGTGGTGGCAACAGTGGGAGTGGTGGTGGCAGCTGTAGTGGCAGTCGTGGTGGCGCTGTTTAGTGGGGAGTTTCTGGCGGTGGCCAGATGCAGCTGCGGCGGCTTCCGCGCGTGACCCTTACGTCCCAGCAGCTCCATGAGTGGTACCCTCAGCGTTGTGCGTCTCGGAGTACTGCTCGCTGCCCGTACGACATTCGCACAGGTGCTCGGGCAGGTCAGACTTTTGAGACACCTGACCATACACAGTCCCACTGCTTCGCCTGTCTGAGCGACTCCTGGCGCGCAGTGTTTGGCGACGAGGCTGAGCTCCCCCGCTGGCTAGAGCTGCTTCGGGACAAAGTGGATATAAAGCTCTAGACTATGATGCTATCCTTACTGCCATGTATGCTCTGACTGGTAGTACTGAGGGTGACTGTTACCTGTGTGTGCCGCCCGACCCTGGTATAGAGGCTGCTGCTCTAGGTGCTAGTGAGTCTGCTCTCTCTGGTACTACGCCTGCTGAGGCCTTGCACACCTTCACGCTTGACTCAGGTGCTTCTCGCTGCTTCTTTCGCGACAGTACCACAATCACACCACTCCCTAGACCAGTTGCAGTCTCACTGGCTGACTCCTCTGGGGGACCATCTCTTGCACGTTCCTCCACTGTTCTCCCGTGTCCAGCGGTTCCGTCTGGCTCACTGTCAGGTCTCCACCTCCCCTCGTTCTCAACGAACTTGGTGAGTAACGCGGTCCTTCAGGATGCAGGGGTTGATACCTTTACCCCTGGAGGCCAGCGTGTGGCGATCTGCACGTGCTCCCGGACGGGCCGTCACCTGGCCACGTTCACACGTCGGCCTGGGTCGAGTCTGTACACACTGACTACTGTGCCTCCTCAGGTCGCTGCGTCTGCTCATGTGTTCGCGTCAGGTCAGGTAGCCGCCTCGTGCTTGTGTCGCCTCCTGTCGCACCAGACTCTCCTCTGGCACCACCGCCTTGGTCACCCCTCCCTGCCACGTCTCCATGGCATGCACTCCCGTCTTCTTGTCTCTGGTCTTCCCAGGTCTCTACCTCCCCTCCCTCCCTCGCCTGCGCCGCCTTGCATTCCTTGCGTCGAGGGGCGGCAGCGCGCCGCTCCTCACTCCTCCTCGTTTCCCCCGATGACTGCTCCCCTGCAGACTCTCCACATGGACGTGTGGGGCCCCAGCCGCGTCAGTGGACAGGGCCGCGAGCGATACTTTCTGCTGGTTGTTGACGACTACTCGCGTTACACCACGGTCTTCCCCTTGCGCAGCAAGGGGGAGGTCCCTGATGTCTTGATCCCTTGGATCCGCGCTGTTCGTCTCCAGCTCCGCGAGCGGTTCCGCACGGACCTTCCTGTCCTGCGTCTGCACTCTGACAAAGGTGGTGAGTTCTCCTCCGACCTCTTGCGGGACTTTTGTAAGGGCGAGGGCATCCTCCAGTCGTTCACGCTTCCGGCCTCCCCGCAGCAGAATGGGATTGCAGAGCGCCGCATTGGCTTAGTCATGGAGGTGGCTCGTACCTCCATGATCCACGCGGCTGCTCCCCATTTTCTGTGGCCGTTTGCGGCCCGGTACGCTGCGTATCAGCTCAACCTCTGGCCCCGTGTCTCCTTGCCGGAGACCTCGCCTACACTGCGTTGGACGGGGAAGGTTGGCGATGCGTCGGTGTTCCGGGTCTGGGGCTCTCGTGCCTTTGTCCGCGATACTTCCGCGGACAAGCTCTCCTCCCGCACCATTCCATGTGTCTCCCTTGGCTTCCCTCCTTATGCGCCTGGCTGGCAGTTTTACCACCCCACCTCGCGCCGTGTCCTGCCCTCTCAGGACGTCACGTTTGACGAGTCGGTTCCCTTCTACCGTCTCTTCCCCTACCGCTCTGCCCCTCTCCCCCCTCCGCCGCTCTTCCTCGCTCCAGGTCCCCCTCCGGTAGACCCCCTCCCTCCTCACGGTCCTGCTCCTTCAGGTGTCTCTCAGGTAGACCCACTTCCCTTAGCTGAGCCTGTCGAGGTCACTGGTGACTCTGGTGCTGCTCGGGGTACTGCGTCTGGGGGTGCTGAGCCTGAGCGTGCGGAGCCTGGGGGTGCTGAGCCTGAGCGTGCGGAGCCTGGGAGTGCTAAGCCTAAGCGTGCGGAGCCTGGGGGTGCTGAGCCTAAGCGGAGCCTGGGAGTCACGCTACTAGAGCTGGAGGCACTGGAGCTGGAGGCACTGGCGCTGGAGGCACTGGAGCTGGGGGCACTCGCGTTGGAGGCGCTGGAGCTGGAGGTGCTGGAGCTGCAGACGCTAGAGCTGGAGGTGCTGGAGCTGGAGGCGCTGGAGCTGGAGGCGCTGGAGCTGGAGGACCTCGAGCTGGAGGCGATGCAATGGAGGTACTGGAGCTGGAGGTACTGGTGGTACTGGGGTTGCTAGTCCTGGAGGGACTGGTGTTGGAGGCACTGTGGAGCCTCTCTCCCCACAGCAGCTGCGCGAGTGGTACGCTCGGCGCACCCGCCTTCGGAGTCGCGCTGCTGCAGCTGGCGGCGCTGGAGCTGGAGGCACTGGGGCTGGGGGCGCTGGCGCTGGAGGCGCTGGCGCTGGAGGCACTGGAGCTGGAGGCACTGGACCTGGAGACGCTGGAGCTAGAAGCGCTGGCGCTGGAGGCGCTGGAGCTGGAGGTGCTGGCGCTGGAGGCGCTTGAGCTGGAGGCACTGGACCTGGAGACATTGGAGCTGGAGGCGCTAGAGCTGGAGGTGCTGGCGCTGGAGGCACTGGAGCTGGAGACGCTGGAGCTGGAGGCGCTGGAGCCGGAGGTGCTGGCACTGGAGGCACTGGGTCTGGAGACGCTGGCGGTGGAGGCGCTGGAGCTGGTGGCGCTGGAGCTGGATCTGGTTGGAGGCGCTGGAGCTGGAGGCGCTGGAGCTGGAGACCCTGGAGCTGGAGGTACTGGTGCTGTGGGCACTGTGCAGCAGCGCCCATTTTTCTTGCTCCCGCCGCAGCTGTCCGACCTACCGCCTGAGTCGGTGCTCCGTCAGGTTCTTAGTATTCCTTCGTCCACTGCCCTTCCTTCGGACTCACCCTTGCCTGCCCCGCCTCGTTACACTACGCAGCCAGCCTCCCTTACAGAGCGTCGTGAGCCTGCGTCTCGTCCTGCCTCCCCTGTTCGCACTGTTCGTCGTGCTCGTCGTGTCCCTCGTCCGCGTCCTCCTCCTGTGCCAGGTACTCACACTATGGCACTTCGTCCTTCCTCTATTCTGCAGCGTGTCCCTCTGCCGTCTCCTCCTGCGTCCTCTCTTCCTGACGTTCCAGACCCTGAGTCTGACTTGGTCCGTGCTGCCATTCCCACCGTCACGCGTCTCCTGGCCACAGTCGTCACTGACCCGTCGTTTGAGTCTACTGCTGCGTCTGCCTTAGTTGCTGAGCTTGTGGACTTTGCTGCTGCGTGTCGTCTCGACTACGCTGCTAGTCTTGTTGATGAGTCTGAGTCTGTCTGTCCTCCGTCCGTCGGGGGTGAGTGTGCTCTTGGCACGGACGTCCTTGAGGACAGGTAGGAGGACTTTGAGTGTCTTGCGGCTGCTGTACCTCATTTCGTGGCCTCGTTGCTTGCACCTGAGGGAGACCCGGATGCACTGGACATCCCGACCCCGCGCTCTTACGCAGAGGCGATCACGGGTCCCTACTCCTCTCAGTGGCAGACAGCCATGGATGCAGAGATGGCATCATGGAAGTCCACAGGCACCCACGTCGACGCATTTCCCCTCATGGGGCGAACATAGTCGATGGCATGTGGATTTTCAGGGTGAAGTGGCCGCCGGGTTCTCCGCCTGTCTTCAAGGCTCGTTACGTTGCTCGAGGCTTCAGATAGCGACAGGGAGTTGACTACTTCCAGACCTTCTCCCCTACCCCGAAGATGACCACTCTTCGGGTGCTACTGCACGTTGCCGCTCAGCGTGACTACGAGCTTCACTCTCTTGACTTCAACACAGCTTTCTTACAGGGCAGCCTGCACGAGGAGATCTGGCTGCGCCGCCCACCTGGCTTCACTGGGTCGTTCCCTCCTGGTACTCAGTGGAGCCTCCGGCGGCCAGTCTACGGTCTCCGCCAGGCGCCTCGTGAGTGGCACGACACACTGAGGACTACGCTTGCGACTCTCAGTTTTCTCCTTCGACTGCTGACCCGTCGCTATTTCTGCGCACCGACACTTCGCTGCCACCGTTCTACATCCTCGTGTACGTCGACGACTTGGTTTTTGCCACTGCTGACACTGAGGCACTGGCCCTTGTAAAGTCGGAGCTGCAGAAGAGACACACATGCACAGACCTGGGTGAGCTGCACAGCTATCTTGGCTTGCAGATCACCCGGGATAGAGCACGCCGCACCATCACCTTGACTCAGTCACACATGGTGCAGCAGGTCCTTCAGTGCTTCGGCTTCCAGTTCTCCTCACCACAGTCTACTCCTCTGCCTACCGGTCACTCGCTCTCAGCTCCACCTTCGGACGAGTCTGTAGAGCCGAGTGGCCCGTATCCAGAGCTTGTGGGCTACCTCATGTACCTGATGACCTGCGCGCGACCTGACCTTGCGCCTGGGAGACACCGACCAGAGCACTGGGAGGCTGCTAAGAGGGTGCTACGCTACTTGTACAGTGCATCGGGCATGGGGATGGTGCTTAGAGGAAAGGGTCCAGTTGTCCACACTTGACACTCAGACGCCTCTTGGGTTGACGACCTGGCTACGCAGCGGTTGTCACAGGGTTACACGTTCAGCCTTGGTTCCGGCTCTGTTTCTTGGCGGTCTACCCGCTCGTCTTCTGTTATCAGCTCCAGTTGTGATTCTGAGATCTACGCAGGAGCCATGGCTGCACAGGAGTTACGCTGGCTCACCTACCTGCTGACCGACTTGGGAGAGCGGCCTAGTTCTCCTCCAGTTCTGTACGTAGACAACAAGGCCGCTATCGCCTTGTGTCAGGAGCACAGACTGGAGCACAGAACAAAGCACATCACTCTGCGTTACTTCCTTGCTCGAGAGTTGCATCAGCGTGGCTAGCTTCGTCTTGCTTACGTGGCCACTCGGGCCAACACTGCTGATATATTCACCAAGGCACTTCTGCCTGGTGATCATCAGCGTCTCTGTACTGCTCTAGGCCTCGTGCCTACGTTTTCTCACTTGCTCACTGCGTGACCTTGCTTGTACTGTGATCTATATATATACCTGCATGCTTACACTTGCTAGGTTGTGATCACTGTACTGTTTGCTTTGTTTTATAACCCTGCATGTGAACTGGCCTTGTGGCCATTTGCTTGTGCTTGGAATGTGTGGTGACTTCGTGATCCACCCTGAGCTTGCTTTGCTTTTCTGTGACTGCTTGTACTCCCCCACCTTGCCTATGGGGGTGTGTCAGAACATTGTGCTGTGTAGGCTGTAGTGGGGTAGCCAATATGGGGTACAACCCAGTTAGGGTTAGTACTTGTACCAAACACATTGCTAGTTCACTCATTCCTGCTGCTAGATTCTGACAGTTTCTACTCTCAACATTGCTCCTACTACGGTATATCAGGAAATTTTCCCTGAAATTCCTGATTTTCAGCCTAGTTTTATGTACCTACACTGATTTTTTAGTGTTGAGATTTGTGTGATACTGTTTTTTCAGCCTTTATTTCATAGTTATCACTGATCTTTCAGTCTTTTATCGAAGTGTACACTGAATGCACATTCCGAATCCTTCCTGTAAAACAGCTGAGAAATTGAGTCCTCCAACATTTACAACATTTTTAAGGAAGAAATTGAAAAGACTGATAATTGATTGCTTGAAATGTCTCCGTGGTTAGCGAAATCGCTAACGAAGGGTAAGGTCTTCGGTTCGAATCATTCGGTGATTTGTTTCGTAAAGACTGCTCTCGTATATGAAGGCATCAGGTGCGTGTACATTACACCTTTTTATTAACGAACCCTGAAATTCCAGGCTTTTTTCTTTTAGGAACCCTGAAAATCAGGCTTTTTTTCACAGGGACCCTTATTCATCAGCGCCCCTAAAAGTGAATCCGAGGGCCTGCTTCGCAAACCCTAAGCCATAAGTTACGTAGTCTTCAAACAATGTGGTACAAGCAGAAAAAATCGAAGTTGAGTTGCACCAATAACATTCAAAGTTTAGATTCAATTTAGTAACAATCTCGAATACATTAGGGTAACGAAATATGCTCACTTTTTTTAAATTTTTATTTTTTTTACATGCAAAGATTTGACTGCTACCAGAACTCACCATGATTTATAATGATAATCATGGATTTCAATTTCCAAAAAGACAGCAATGCTAAGAAGAGTTCCTCTTTGAAATAATGTGAAACAACCTGAGTGATTTTGGTGGCAGGCATCCTCATAAAAAGGAGCTTGAATTTCCATAGGAATTGTTTACAAAATCTCTTTTCAAAGTGTTACGAATAGTAACATATAATTGGGCACTCCTAACCGCAGCTAAGTGAAGCACGCAGTATCGAGAATGAATGCGAGGAGTCAGAGTTAACCCGAAGCCACGCAGACGGTTGTTCGAAACAAGTAATCTAACGCTTCTTGTGTGTCGTAACATCAGACTATAAACGAGTCGAACCACAGCGCAGCAATGGCGAGTCAACCGAGGAGGTTGACAGAAAAGTAACAGCCGGAGGTTACGCGAAGGTCAAAGGTCAGCGATCTTTGACTCGACAAATACAGCACGACAGCAAGGACAAACAACTGACTCGATATTGAGCAGTTGCCCGAGTCGTGACTGTATCGAACCGCAACAGCAGCAGTTACAATTGCAGTTACAAATAAGCAGTTAGTTAAACCTTTTGTATTCCCTTGTAAACATATAAAATCTTGTATCTCTTTGCTTTAATCAATCTATCTTGCCCTCACACACTAGTGCAAGGTGGTTCAAACCTCGTTATTAAAACGCTTCCGCAATACAATGTTTCTACTAAGAGTCTTAGTCCTGCAAAGATCCTAAGGGCTTTTCTCAGCCTAACATGGTATGAGAGCAGGAAGACAAGACTTAACACTTGTCATTTTAACTCCTTGCAACGACAAAGGACATGGCAACGCAGAAGGAGCGTCGCTCATCTACTGGATCCCCTAGTGCTACTCCTACCGCATCTCCATCATCTGGACTACAGACAAAGGGAGGCACCACGACAAGACCAGCTGCAGAATCCACTGAGATACCCGCAAACCAAGCGACCGGCTTCGGCTCCTTTATGTCGTTCTACGAGCAACAGCAGCAAGCCGCACCTGCACAGTCAAACAACAGCAATAACAACGACGTTACTCCTATGAGTCTCGACGGCTCATCATTCGCACGCGGAAATCAACAGCAGCCTACCTTTGCACCGTATGAGCCACATCGCGGCTCCATCAGCTTCATGCCAAATCGCCTTCAACCTGGACAAGAACAAAAACCAGCGGACGCACTTCAGATGCAGTCACAGTTCGCACATGTACTAAAACTGCAGACATCAACGCCATTCGACGGAAATGACTTCTATACCTGGTCCTTTGAATTCGAGTTAATGATGGAAGGCGCGCAAATCCTCGGCTTCTTCGACGGGTCCCTGCCATATCCAGTACACAGAACACAGTACGACAAACAGCAGTACACATATCAGTCGCTGATGGCCTACACAATTCTTCTACGGAATTTGATGGCGAACGAGCAGCAGAACATCCGGTCTTATCGAGGATACGGCAACTCCGCCGAGCTCGCGTACAACCACTTGAAGAGCCTGTATCAAGCAAACGACATCGTCAATCAGAGTCGCCTAATGGCACAACTAACGACAGTTCAAATGAAACCCGGCGAAAAGGCAATGGCGTATATCAGTAGATGTCGCGGTCTGCGCGACATGCTTCATCGATGCGGCGGTGCGTTATCCGAAGAAGCCTTTGTAACCGTCGTCCTTGCAGGTCTTGGACCCAAGTGGCGCTCCATGCGAGCCATTCTTCGACGTCACGGGCAAATCTCCGAAGCAGCACTCTGCACAGAACTTCACGCTGAACAGCAAGACATGGACCTGCACGAGGAGCGGCATAAAAGAAAAACGTCAGTACCCGAATTTGCATTCCACACTCAACGACGCTACAACAACAACAATCGGCAGAACAAGCATCAAGCACAGCGACTTGTACCTCCGTTGTGCAGCCATCGCCCAGAGCGAGCCGCCCGAAAAAGACACCTGGTTCTTGGACAGCTTTTGCAGACAGCACATGTGCTCCTCGGGTCGCTTCGTTCAACGAGAGCATCAACTTCAGCGCGAAGTCGTCATCACCGTCGCCAACAACCAGAACCTGCGCACACGACGACAAGGCATAGTTCAACTTCAGTCGAGAGAAACTAATGTCATACTGCAAATGTCAAAGGTCTTAATCGCGGAGGGACTCGGCTACAACTTACTCAGCGTTAGTCAACTGATAACGAAGGGAATTCATCTCTAAGCAGATAGCACCACGCAAGAGTTCAAGCTGTACCACGGAAAGGGCGGCCTCTACATCGGCAAAGCGGTTTTGAAGAACAACGTCT